GAGTCTCTGGAAGAACTTACAGATTGACTTGGTAATAGTGACTGTACAGATGCAAAGGCAAACAGTGATACCTGTGTTGTATTTTAGTAGCACATTCTTATTTCAGAGAAAAGCATTTATTACAACAGAAATAAAGTCTGAGTTAAGTAGACTGAGGACTGACTAGTTGGCAGTGGTGAATCTCTGTAGTAGTTACCTCTGTAACATTATCAAACAGTGGCATGAATAGTGCTGGGACTATGTTGATACTGTCCAATGTTTTCCTTGCTAGGAAAGCAAACAGATAAGTATCAGATGACAGAGTTCACTTTATGATGTAAAGATTGGTGAAAGGGTAATTAACACAGTAGGCAGGGCATCTATAGAAACAGGTCTGGATCATTAAGTTGGATCCATTCAAGCAAATTACATAATGCCTATTATAAAGCAATCAATTTAGAGACAATCAAGAGCCTTGGGAACAATTTAGAGGTCATAATGCACAAGCAGGTCAAATTGATAGAGCAACAAGCTGAGGGAAAGTTGTGAGCACTGGGTCTACGAAAGTACTGAACTCTGTGGGCAGCATCATCAGTACACACTGTGGAGTTCTTCCCATAGGTCTCCCTGTGTATTTTTATAGTGGCTACTGGAAGTTGGAAAAGATTCTGAAAAAATCCAAAAGAAAAGACTTCAGGAAAGGCAAAACTGTCCAACTGCAAAGCTTTAACAAGTTAATCTGTTCAGTTCACACAACAGAACATACGAGGACATAGCTATAGGGAAGTATATCTATCTTCCCTAGAGAAAGACTGAATAATGCAAGAGTCTTTAACACAGTGGAAGAAACAATAATCAATGCTGGAGATAGAAGCTGGAGATAGAAACCAGGCAGCACAAACTGGAAAGAAGGGCTTTGTTTTTAAAATAAGCAATTCATTGCAGGAGTAAGATAACTGATACTAAGGTGTATAGTCCACCTTTTGCTGACTTTAGACCAAAACCTTCTAGAAAACCATTTTAAACTTAATTCTCATATAGCTATGTGAACTTACACATCTCCTGTTGTATAATAGAGCTGAGCAAGCCTTTCTGATGCCCTTGTCTGGACATTCTCCCCCTACCTCCTGTTCCTCAGACACTTTCCATCTGTGGATTGCAATCCCTTCTTCCTGGGCAGAAGCAGTGACAGACAGGACTTGTGTGCACTGGTTTCCACTGGGATTCTGGGTTTGGTGCAGCCCTATCCCACCATGGCAATATGGTCCCTCCACCTGCACTGTCACTTCCATCCAAAAGCCGTGCAGATCCCTGGGACAGTGCATGTCTGTCCTCTGTGTCTCTCCCATTTCAACTCCCATATGTCTGGGTTGAATTAATGCCAAAGGCATGAAGAAAACACAGGGCCACGAAAGTTCCTTGGTCTGAAAAAGATACTTTCAGCATCCTAAGAGATTCCTGAGTTGGATTGCAGCACTGGCCAAGGCTGGAACCAGAATCTGTGCTGTAGAGCTGTGTCATTTCTTGAGCCACTAGCAAAGACTGTGGCTCTGGGACACATCTACAAATATCCCTACGTATGTGAAACCTTGGTGTCTAATTTGGTCTTGGTGGTGGTGTTGGTAGATATGATCCCTTATAAGCCTCAGTTCAATTCTAGGCTAATTCCTAAAGCTGGAAGACATTTGAGAGTTGGTAGTTGCAGCGTTTCAGGCAATACCCTACCACAAAATGTTTACTGTGTCAAAGAAACACTTGGCAGAGTGAAGGCTCTATGGGTTGATTATTATTCCAGGAGAGCTGCAAGGCTTAGAAACTTGAAGGGGAGGAGACTCATGTACTGTAACTTCATATGGACCATGGCAGGAGTGGACCATGCAGGTTTGCCCGAGGGAAGGTGGGCAAGGAGAGGAAACAGTCCTTGTCAGTACAAGGAAGCACTGAACAATAAGGGGAGGAGCAGGCTAAAGGAATTCGTATTCCCCAAGAGTTTCCTATTCCCCAAGAGTTTCCTTTTAAGCACAAGGTGGGTGTGTCTCCCTCCAACATAAAACACATCCTAAAATAAACACGCGCAATTATTTGTGAACATACACATTGCTTATGGGGCAATGTTGTTTTGTGTCCATTTAGAAGTTACAGCCAGAGCCTTTCAAGTGGCTCAGACAGCAAAGGAAGCAGAAATTAAAGCAGAATGAAATTGTTGTGATAAAGAGCAAGAAGCTGTGCTTCTTTTGTTTGGGTTATTTTTTTAAACAAACACTTGGACTCCTCCCGCTGCTTACCCCTCACACCCACACCCAAGGAAAAGGAGAATTGTTTAAGGAGCCTCGTGAAAGGCAAGATGAACATTCAGAAGAGTTAGGAAAAAAACCCTGAGGAATCAGTAGTGACCAGTAGCTGGCACAAGTGGGTAAAAATAGGACAAAGCCTATTACCATTTTGTGAACAGGTTCCATTACCAAAAGTTCTCTTCCACCCTCAGTGTTACTGAAGAAGCAGAAAGGAAAACTTTAGATGATGTGATTCCTTTTGCTGTAGAAAATTAGCACTGGAGGGAAAGTGGGTAACTGTTTAAGCTGTACTTTTATAAGTGTTTGTCTGCATGGATATCTCACAGGAAATTAGTTCATTATTTTATTTCAAAGGTATTTATTAGACAAAGCTTGGGAGATCCTGGCATCCTGTACAGCCCAGTCTTTGCCTGGTTACTCACTCTTTCAGTACAGACACTGCCTGACAAGAGCAAGGATGAGAATGCAGAGTCTGCTCAGGCCTTGTCACATCCCAGGAACAGAGTAGGTGTGTTTGTATTCTGCTCTTGGATAGACATTCCTAGGAAAGACCAGGCACTGCAGAAAGGGTATAATACCTCCAAAGTGATGCTTCTTCCTTGGGCTTAGTCCTTAAAATGCCTTATTATGGTGGTAAAGGTGTAAAACCTCAGTTTTAGCTAATCAATACTTCATGCATTTTACTACCAGAAAGTTAGTTTGGGATGTTCAGTCATTGCAGTAACTGATGTAAAAATCCAGAGGCAGATCTGGCTGGGCAGCCAGGCTGACAAGATACTAAACCCACTTCTATTTCCTCCCTGTTTTGAACTGGCAAAAGTTTTAAGCACTCTGCAGCCTTCGACTGCTGAGGGAATGTTTGGCACACAACATTTCCAAACGATGTGGAGGGAAAGACAAGTTCCCATTCTGTGATTTCAGTAATTAGGCAGAGGCATTGCAGCCCCAAGGAGCAGTGGATACTGTGAAACACTACAGGACTACAGACTGGAGAACACAGTTTCCTCTCCCTCCTTTTCCACGAGTTGTTTGAAGCCTCCCACAAGTGAGGCAGGACTGAATAAAACCCCAGATACAAAATAACTCTTACATAGTGCATGTGATAAGATGCCTGACCAGAACAGACTTTTCATTCCTTCTGGGCTAAGCTGAGATCACTGATTCAGTTTTTAACTTCGATGAAACCTCTCTGGTGTCCCACAAGTCTAGGAAAACTGTTTTCTGACTACATCAGAATGCCAAACTGTCAGCTTCTTTCTAAATATTGGAAGAAATCTCAGCAAGGTTACAAAGATCAGAAGAAACAGCCTTTTATGTCTCCCAGAGTCTAACCAAACAACTATGCCAGTATTAGTTCCATACAAATTACTCCAATTATACTAAGACAACAGTAAGAAAGTCCCATGACATACAATATCAGAACAATCAGAGAACAATTTTAAAGCAGTTTGCATTGAGTTTTCCTTTATTCTCAGTCCAGTGCACACCACAACTCTAAATGCCTGCACTCCCACACATCAAAAACCTGCATTCCAAAATATTCAAAATACAACAGCACAGTAGCTGCATCTCCTGAAACTTAGGAATACCATGATTTAGGATAGGATTTCACATAGGAACCATGTCCCAA